TCCTAGATACCCTGACCTGGCATGGGTCAACAAAAGCCTAACTCACTTGCAGGTTCAATTTATTCAGGTAACACTCAGCTCTCTTCCAGGCATAGGCCAATGTTGTTGGAACAAACCCAAGAAAAGTTGATTCCAGCTCCTCATTAGTAGGGAACACTTCCTTCTGATAAACTACCTTATTCTTTCTCAGAGTCATCTCTGCAGAAAGTTTACTTTCCTAGAAAGGACCCACAGTTACACCAACCTGAGGGTTTGGGGCAAGGACTCCATGTTCCCACTTACAGCTTGAAAGTGTCATCAATCTTGAAAGATAGTGTCATTTAGTATTTCAAAACAAAGATCTTGACATGTACTTGGTTATGACAAGAAGAATGATGCAAGCTATTTTGCTCCTTCAGAAAGCAATAGCTAAAAACAAGTCAAAATGGGCTAGAAATTACCAATTAGTCCCCTGAGGAAAACTGAAGTTCTGATGTGTAGTGACCTAAATCCTCAGCAAGTCCCCTTGTCACAAGGAAAGATGGAAGGTAGGAGAAATGCAATTGCAGGCAGCTTGGAGAAGGAAGGAAAAGGAGCCTACTAGATTATGTGGAAAGTCACTAGTCAAAAATAGAATGAGAGACATCATTCTTTCTTTTTAAATTTGAATAAAGGGAATATATGTGTTATTTGCAGAAATAAAAATCAAAGTACAAAAATACGAGATAAACCACTCTGAGTTTGCTGAGGTTCTGGTAGACACTCTCACGTGAAGCTAATGTTCTTGACTCTAGGACTTCACAGAAGGGGACTTCCAGTTCCTGAGGTTTCTCAGGTCACAATAATAATAAGCCATGTTTTGCAGGCCCTCAGCCTCACCTTCACACACCCCCATAATCACCCTTCTTTTTCCTCCAGTCATCTGTGGGAGACTCCTGTGAGTCATGTGCTTGTGACTGAACTGTGAGGTTCTATCAGGAATTCAGCAACAGACCCCTTGACAGGGAAAGTGAACTCCACTCCCACACTGCTTGTCAGGCACTCTGTCTCCTGCTCCCTCCCTTTGTTTCTATGCCTGCAAAATGGTACTAGCTCCCACTCTTAGAATCTCTCAGGAACTGCACCATCCCTGTGGTACAGGCCACCCTTGGCCAACACATTTGTAAATGGCCCTCTATCCAACTCTTCTCAAGTGAGTACCATCCATTTCTTCTGGGCCTGTGTCCTATACATCCCATGTGTCTGGATCTCTGCTCATGCCCCAAGCAGGAGCCTCTGTTGTACCACGCAGCCACAGGGAGGAAGCCTTACCAAACTTTTCGGTGAAAATAATTCAGGAGGCTGAAAGATGATCCTTAAGACATTTTTAAAGTTGATACCAAAATGGTGTTGGCTGACTCATGACCCCTGAGACTTAATCCAACTGGTTGGAAAGTTGACAGCAGCACAGAGAGACTGACCATTGCCAAATCCCCAAACAAAGAAGTGAAGAATTTGCCAAGAGACACAGGCTCCCCTGTTCTGAGCAGCTTGAGGCTGTAGAAATGCAGCTACTGCTGAATGTATTTTCAACATTCAACAATGAGCCTGCTTGGCTCTAATGGAGCCAACACCAAGAGGGGCTTCAGTGTACAGCCATGACTGGCGGTGTCAGGGCCTGCGGCTGCTTCATTGCTGCAGATTCAGGAACTATAGATTTCATTCACTCCCCCACCTTAACTGACCTCATCAAGACCCTCAAAAACCACCACCACCTGTACTGAAATTCTGGTCTTGTTCCAAGTACATGGGGAGTATGTATGTTTTAAAATCCACAGGATATAGAATTATAGTTTTACAGTTTTGTTTTGCAAAAATTTTCTTTTGGCATTTAAAGATATTTTTCTATTTTCTATGATTTCTGATAAGAAGTCAACCATTAATTGGATTATTTTTCCCCTATATGTGCTTGTCATTTTCCTCTTGCTGCTTGCAAGATTTGCTCTTTCTTCTTGGCTTTTCAACAGTTTCAGGAGGTGCCTCAGTGTTGGCTTCCTTGTATTTATTTTCCTTAGTGCTGTATTAAAGCCCCAACTACTTCTGTTTCCAGGTATCACAGACAAAAGTTCTACCAGACAAAACATGCTACAGAAAACAAGTGTAAAACCTGGGCAAGTACAAAAAGCAAGCACAGGCAGGCAGTGCAGAGGGAGCCAGGGCATATAAACTATTTAGAGCAGAGTCAGATGTCCAGACCATACTCCAACTCAGTTATGAGAAGACAAGTCGCCAATGTTTTTTAATGGACAAAAGATTTGAACAAGTACAAAATTAAAATATACAAATGGCCATTAAGTACATGAAAGATGTTCTATATTTAGTTAAAATTAGTAAACACATTTAGGCATGATGGCACATGCCTGTAATCCTAGCACTTGGGAAGCTGAGGCAGGAGGATTACAGGTTTGAGCCCAGCCAGGGCAACTATAGCTTAAACACATACACACACACCACTACCATTCGGGGTCTGAATCTCAGCCCATACAGTTTCAAGCCTAACCTTTCTATAACTAACCTTTGTGTAACTGTTATCTCACCTATAAGGTAGACACAATATTATTACTAACCTCATTACATTTGTGAGCGGATTAAATGAGATTAAACAAACATATATTTTCTTTATGTTAGCCCTCACTACAAGTCTTTTTCTTAGAGAGAAATGAATTTATGGTACACCCTCCAGAACATGGGAGCGATACCAATGTTTCAGCCAGACAGTTCCATCCAAGAATGAACTTCATACTGTGTCCTATGAAATTAAAAGCCTTGTAAATCCCACTGAGCCAAGCAGGATAAGGGTGAGTGTTTGCTTCCCAAGGATATAGCCAGAAAAATCAGTTCTAGCTATCTGAAGATTTCCTATTTCTGTTTCTATTCTGTGAAGCTCTAGACACCCACATCAGCTATTTAGGCTAGTTTATCTCAAAACAATATGACTGGTATAGAGAAAAAAATCTGGAAATTTCACACCTTATTGTTTGGATGTATTCTTTTTACTGTTGCCCTAATATCTGCCTCTACTTTATTGTATAATACCAACTTCCATAGAAAGAAAATAACCACTTAATTTCTTTTGTAATGACCCTTTAAGGATGTATTTATAGTATATTTCCATTGTCACATGGGAAAGCTAAGATATTTCATCTGTATTCAATTCTAATACCTTTATATAAAATAACATGATAAAGACTATAAACAAGATTTAAACAAAACTATAAAGGATTAGTCTGTAACAAACCTTATTCTCTCCTCTTGCATATTTTTTTTTTTTTTTTTTGGTACCAGGGATCGAACTTGGGTCCTTGCGCTTGCACAGCAGGCGGCAAAACCACTGAGCTAAATCCCCGGCAAAACTATTACTATTTTTTTTTTTTGGTACTGGGGATTGAACTCAGGTCCTTGTGCTTGCCAGGCAGGTGGTGGAACCACTGAGCTAAATCCCCTGCCCTCTTCTTGCATATTTTTAAGAACAGATTTTGAGGTTGGGCTGTTTTTCTATAGCTACCTGGATGGTTATTGTGGAGTCAAGGAATTCTAACAGTAATTTCCCTCATGGCTTCTGAGACATCGTACAGTGAGCTACCTTGTTCTTTATTTGCATTACATTAGACAAGTATGTTTTTGTTCCTCTGTTGCATATGTAACTTGTTTATAAATAATTTATATTTATATCATATATACAGTAAAATATACATTAAATATTGGACATTATTAAATATTTTCAATTTCTACTTACAATTTCAGAATTGTCATTGCAAACAAATTAAATAGCATTTTCTTCTTTTGCAAGGTTGAGGTAAGAACTAATGACATAGATGGCAATTTTTTTTCCTTGGTAATTAGAAAGCCTCTAGCTTCATTATTTAATCTCCAAGGACAGTGTAAGTGATTACTCTGTATGAATGAGTTTCAGGCTGCAGTTCCATTTTAATTAAATTTTTACACACCATGAGAAATTTGTTAAATACTAATGTAAATGCTTGAGAATATAGGAATTTTAAATTTCTGTGACATTATTATTATATCACACTGCAATTCTGAAGAAATTTTTCTTTCCTAAATCAATTTACAAGACAAAATGAAATCCCCCCCCAGTTATATTTCAGTGACATTTATATTCTCACTATTTTGTTCCACAAACAATAGAATCATCAGATATGTTGAAGAAATGACCCTTTAACCCAGGAATTCCATTTCTAGGAATTTATCTCAAGAAAGTGAGAATGGAACAAATTTATCCTGTTGTCAACCAGGGAGGGATTATCTCTTTCACGGACGATTTTATCCTTAAAGTCTCCAAGCGCTGATGAGAGGCTGAGGAGCTGAGAATTCCCTATGTCATATGTTGAACTAGAGTAGCTTCTGAGGACTCTGTAAAGGGTAAGAAAATTACATGTGCGTTGGTTTCAGCAAGGTGTTTTAATCAAGCACAGGCCAGATTAAATCTGTTCTGTAAGAGACTGGGTGTCAATTTAGCTGTTGTCTGAATCAATGAAACAAGCCGGAGTTTTAAAGGTTGTGGAGGCAGTGTTTAGAAAGCAGGTAATTGGGTAACTGTCTATGAGCAAGACAAGCCAGATATGTATTGATTAAGAAAGGAAAAGTCTGACTTGATTAACCTCCTCAGTGTCGATAAACCAGTGTTTGGTTATGAATGTAATTTTCCTTCTCTCCTTCACTAAAGGTCCAAAAATAGCGCAGGAAGGAGCTGTGGAGAAGGTAAAACTGTTTCTGAATCAGGATCCTTCCTGTTGTTTGGGGAAAATACTAGAAAAAGAGCAGAATGTCCTTCTCAGACAAAAACTATTTATCCCTTAAACTTCATACAGTAGAATTCAATGCCAAGCTCTACACTGGTGGCTCTAGCATCAGACTCATGCCTCCTTGTTCGGCTCTGAAATTTCTGCTGGAGACAAAAGTTTCAGGAAATAGAAACCTTTCTTGTATCAAGAAATCTCCTTTGCAACTCTGTCTTGCTCCAGGGGCTCCTGGAATGTTCCTCCCTGGAGACCTGAGATCCCCCAAAATAGCAGCAGTTCATCAGGGGGTAGATTTTCCCCTCCTGGGAAACAGATGGAATTGAAAGACTGGGAATTCACTGTTGTCCTGAAGCAACATCCACTGGGTCCATGAGTTCTCTTGTTGAAGACACGACCTGTCCTAACTACTGAATGAGACCAGGTAGTATCTGCAGATCCCTTTTCTGGTGCTTTTGGGTTAGAAATCACAAGTACTGAGTTTTTAGGTTTCTAATAAAGGACTGGGTAATGCTTGTCCTTTCTTTTTACTAATGAAGACTAGAAAGTTGAGGCTGGACGTCAATCTGTGCCCACAGTTTGGAATCTGGGACAACTAAGAGGAGGTGTCTTGGTTCCTCCACCTCCTGCTTTAGAACAGAGTCTGAGATCTGCAATAAGATGTGAGTGACCCTCTGGGTCCCACCAGCCTACCACCCTCCCACCCTCCCAGTGCTGCAGCTCAGTTTGGCTGTGAGTAGATGGTAAAGATCCCACTCTTGGCAGAGCAGGAGTAGTGTGGAAACTGTCTGGACAGTATGATGCATTTGATAGAGAATGCAGAGCATAGAAAACTCTTTGTGTCTCTTATGGTGTTCTGTAACTTCTATTTCATTGCAATAAAAACAGAATCAGAAAAAGAAAAAAAAAACAGAATCAGTTTGAGAGCAGAGGCAGCTTCAAGTCTAGTAAAACCTAAAGCAATAACATTTTATTCTAATAAGAGACTTCATATATAGAAAATAAAAGATTCATTGGGAACATAATTCTTTGTGAAGCAAAGCATATTGCATGTGTAATATTTGGTTATATAAGCAATATAGCTTATAATATAACCTATATATAAGTTATATAGGTCCTATAAAGGACCTACTTATATGAATGAAGCTGAGAGAGAGCAGAAGAGGGGAAGGAACCTATAGAATTCCTAGACCAATAAGATCTGGGTAGTCCTAAGTCTTGAGTCAATGGTTGTACTAGTTTACTTTGCGTTTTTAAAACAAAATACCTGAGGCCAGATAACTTTATAAAGAAAAGAGGAATATTTTGCTTAGCAGTCCTGGAGGCTAAAGGATGGTCTTCTTATTGGCAGAAACTCAAAGCAGCACATGGCAAGAAATAAGCATTGTGTGTTCCTCTCTCTCCCTCTCCCCCTCTCCTGTAAAGCCAGAAGTATCCAATCATGAGGATCAATCCCAGAGTGTGTGGAGGAACAGCTGTGCTCATGGAGATGAGTCTGTGGCAGCAGCCAGGCTTCTGTCTCTGCTCACCATGCCCACCACTACAGTGACTTCCAAAATCCCTGTGGGGAATGTAGAACTAGAAGAGTTAAGTGGTCACATCACAAGAAGACTAACTTCACAACACACTCCAAATTCCTTTGTTTTTAACAATAAGCAAAGTGCTCTCCACGATTAACCGCATTCACCTTGAAGAGCTTGGACATTAGCTCCCAAGACTTGTCTAAGCATTTTCTCAGTGTCTTATGTAAGAATCCCTACTCTACTGATCATAGCACATCATAGGCTTCATAGCACAAAACAAAGATATTTAATGCAAATGTCCAGCAGTAAGTGGAAATGGAGCCAAATGTCTTTTTCTTGTTTGAGTTATTAATGTTTTTCTTTTAATGTATTCAGTATTCTAGAAACATGGGGCATAAAATGTTTTAGGCAATTTTATGTGAAAGTGGTGTCCAAGCCAAGAAAATGCAAATCATAATTATGCCTAAATGCTTTCATTCTAACATGTAATCCTGGCTTCCATTCTTCTTCTAGGTTAAACATTTCAGTTTCTGTTTACATAAACCTTTCCCCGACCTTGTGACAAAAGGCTCGTGTATTTCTGCTAGCTATTATCAAAAGGCAATCAAGTGCATTAATGCCTCAGAGGTGGCCAGTAGAGATTGATTAGCTCTGTCACTCAGGAGCTAGGGCATGAAGGGAAATGGATGGCTCATGGCAGCAGAGAGAAGCTGGAGAAAGAACCCAGCTCCACTGACCATTTGTGTCCTGTGCAGTTAGGTAGGAACTGACCTGGGGAAAGCAGGCTTGTCTTTCCTGCAGGAGGAGGAAGCCCATTTGGCCTGGTCTGGGCTAGGGAAGGAATATTCAGCCTTCCTGTCTTTGACAGACTGTTGATTAGGGCTCAGCACCAAAAGTGCTGACCAAGAGAGTCCCCAGGAAGCTGAGTCTGGCCACTGAGATAGGTGGAAGCAAGTTGGAGGGAGTGTTTCGAAGAAAGGAGGCAGCCTGGGGGCCTAAGTGAGCTCTAGAGGAGCAAAGTTGAGGTCTGTCCAGACACTGTCAAAGTTTACAAGGACAAGACTTTGGAGTAGATCACCCACAGGGAGGAGGAGGCCCTTGCAGCCTTGTGTCAACAGGAATCTGGCTTAATAGTTACCTCTATTCAAATGAGCCATTTGGCTTCACACTGTTCTTCCATCCAAGCAGAATCCAAGCCACTGATATCCCTAGCTGTGGAGCAGTGTGACCTGGTGTGTGACAGTGCTAGACACCAGCACTACCGTGATTACAGGAAGACAAGGCACAGGGCTTTGTATTTCATCAACAGCCTGGAAAGCTATTTGCACCTTACTCTGTGAGTCTGCCTCTCTCCAGGGCACATTTTAGAACAGGTGACCTTCAGGACAGCAGCCTTTCCGCCCCTAGCAAGTGGCATCAGCAGCCTTTGAAAGCATTGTCCTTGAAGACCCTGGGCCCCACATTTTCCTTTGGGCTAGAGGAGGTCATCCTGCCAACAAGGAGGACACAGACCCTAGAGGAAGCTGATCATTCAGAAAGTGACAAATCCTGGATGATTTCTTATAGTTTCAATAATAAGTAAAAGAGTCTTCTTCATACTATGTAATGGAGGTGGGAAAAGAATTAGGCTTGGCGTCAGTACAGCTATGTTTGATTCTGGATGCATCAGTTACTGACTTGTGGTCTGTGAGTTAAAGACTCATTTTAAAGCCTTTGAGGCGCGGTTCTTCCATCTATAACATGGGCATCATAAGGCCTAATCTTCCTCTCCCAGCTTAATCAAGTAGTGATAAAGATGACAAAGTTGATGATAATTTGTTTCACTTACAAAGTGCTCACCATGTGCCAGGCACTGTTCTAAACACACTACATCTACTAGTTCACTTAATCCTTGTTTCAGTCCTGTGAAGTGGACAGCTGCAATATCCTTGATTTGCAGAAGGAAAAGAGATTAAGTGACTGACTTTCCCAAGAGAATCACAGAGGAGGAATTAAATTCTGAGAAGCTTCTCTTAACCTTATCTCATCTTTTCTTGATGATAATATATATGAAGCTGCCTTGGAACCCCCTATTCCTACAGAATAGGTGTCCCGCACAAGTATCATAAAGGATCAAATAAAATATTGGACAGCTGCATTAAATGCTAACCACAAATAAGGAGATGTTGTCTTTATTATGGTTAGAAGTGGGCAATTCTGACCCAACAAAACCATGATTCAAATCTGAATCCTGTTCTGTCACCAAGTACTGACAGGTGGGAGTGAGTCCTTGTCCACCTGGGGGCTCAGCAGGGACAGGTATAAGGGTCATGGGCCCTGAAAAGCAGGCAGCCCAGCACTGGCTGTGGAAGTGTTTGGTGGCTGCCCCAAAGCAAATACGGATCACTCATGCCTGAAACCCTTTCTGCAGCTGGCTGGGAAGGGGAATCTTTCATTCTAACAGGCCATTGGTTCTGATTGATGAACAGAGTAGTTTCTGTTAGGAGACGCTGACAAAGGCAATTTACAAAGGGGCTAGAGCAGGAGGAATTGAGCCATGCGCTGACAAGGCAGATGGTGGCCTGAGCGCAGTCCTGGGGGCCTCGCACTGCATTGCAGACACTTGTCAGCCCCCGATGTATGTGTAGCGGCCACGGTTGTTTCACTTTTCAGCTAGGTCTGGGATCAATGGCAAATGCTGCATGGAGGCCATCCATCACAGGAGCAGGCTGTGAGTTATGAGGCAAAACTCCCAGCACTGATTCCACCAACCTCCCTTGAAGCTGGTAATGTGCAAGTCAGCACCCCTGACACCTTTTCTGAAGGGCAGGAAATGCTGTGGAGGAGCCATACTCACTCCTGCCAAGACATTTCCTGGGAAGTATAATGTGTCCTGAGGGTCCTTCTGTCAGATTTCCAGTTGCCAAGGCACAGGACCTGATACCCCCTACTTATAGGAGGAAAGGCTCATTTTGGCTCGTAGTTTTAGAGGATTCTGTCAATGGTTGGCTAGCTCAAAGCAGAAATGGCATAGTGGAATAAAACTGCTTACCCTGTGAGAGCCAGGAAGCAGAGATAGAGGGGAGGAGCTGGGGACAAGAATGCACCCTTCCAGGTCATTCCCTAGTGACCCACCTCCAATGAGGCTCCACCTCCTAAAATCACATGAGCTACTGAACTCATCAGTGGATGAATCCATTGATGAATATAGTGTCTCTATGATCCAGTTACCTTCCAAACACCTGAGACTTTTGGGGGGACATTTAAGATCTAAACCATAGCATCCTGCCCTTGGCCCCAGAAGGCTCATATACATCTCATTACACAAAATGCATTTGAACAGGGAAATGATTTCTGACCAGAAGGAGCCTGTGATGCAGCTGGGTAGTAAACAAAAGGCTCTTCCCAGCTCCGACCCCTCATGCACCTAAAACACGTGTTCCTCCACTCTCCTTTGTTCTCAGTGGAGTTTCTGTGACCCCTGGTTCCTGCTATATATAAATAAGATGAATCCTAGTGTACCTTTCTATCCAGTTGTATAAGCTAAATTATCTACCTCAACCAATGAACTAATGTTGAGTGTCTTGCCAAGGTATCCTCACCCCTCCTTTCCCAAATCTATATAAACCCTGTTCACCGCTGAGACAGGACTGATTGCTTTGTGGAGAAGTCCCTAATAGGTCCACTAGTGAAAATAAACCTTCCTCCAACTTGCAGGGTGTGTACTCGAATCTTCTCAGCCTGACTCCATTGTATCACTTAGAGCTACAACACTGTAAGTTATATTTGCTACAATACATTGAGTGCATCTCTAAGAGTCACCAAAGTCTTAAACAGTTCCAGCACCGCTGAAAAGTCCAAGCCAAAGTCTCCTCTGAGATTCAAGCCAAACTCTTAGCTGTGAGACCCTGTGAACATCAAAAAGAAACTTAAA